TTCTGTCAAACAAATAAATAAAATCTTAAAAAAAAAAAAGTGACATACCTATGCTGTTATAAAATGTCATTATTTACAATATGCTAGAAATGACATCTTTGTCCCTATTTAAATTTATAATGCAAAATGTTAAATGTGCACTCAGATGTGCACCCACAAGCACAGGATGTCAAGACTAGCTGAGGGACTACCTGGGTCACATGCAGACCTACCTGTGAGTATCAGAAGAAAGGCTTGTGAACACAGCCAGCTAGCTCCCACAGTTTCTGGGGCAAAACTGGGTCCCAGGGGAAAAGCCTCTGGTCTGATGGAAAGGCCAGGAGGGGGTCTGAGGGCCAAGGAACGACGGCGCAGGAGGAAGCTCAGGTGGGACTGGGGTTAACCAGCCCTGTCACCCAGCTGGGAGGTAAGATATAGCCAGTGGCCAGTCTCATTTCTCAGTGAGTCTCAAGTGCCTTTGGTGGGCACAATGAGCTTTAATTCTGGGCACATAAAAAAATGTGAAAAACAGGGTGCCTGGGTGGCTCAGTTGGTTAAGCAACTGCCTTCGGCTCAGGTCATGATTCTGGAGTCCCGGGATCGAGTCCCACATCGGGCTCCCTGCTCAGCGGGGGGTCTGCTTCTCCCTCTGACCCTCTTCCCTCTCATGCTCTCTGTCTCCCATTCTCTCTCTCAGATAAATAAATAAAATCTTTAAAAAAAATGTGAAAAACAGACCAAAAATAATAAATCACAGCTTTCAGGGCTTGGCCCAGGGGATACAACCCCACCCACCACAAAATGACCTCCAAAGCTGCACTATGCTATTTCACAGTGCAGTTGTTCATAATAACTGAGTCAAAGTGTGTGGGAGGATAGGGGAAAGAGAGCTGAAAGTCACTGCTCACTATGAGCTACGCATGCGCATCCGCCTAGGCCCTCACACTCACAACCATGATTTCTAGCATTCTTACCAGGTGTCACAGCTCTGAGTACTTCTCATGAATTAACTCACTTTGCCCTCACTTGAGCCCTGTGTGGAGGGTACCACCATCACCATCCCCATTTCAGAGATGAGGAAACTGAGGTCTACAGAGCTGATCCACACGTAGCCCCCAGCCTGGCCTTGGTGTAACTCAAGCTGTATGGATGGAAACCACATTGGCTCGTCCCTGGCAGCCCCAGTGGACAGGAAACCTTAGCTCCATCCTTGAGGAGAGGAGTGGCTGAAGTGTTGCTGCTCACCCTCCTCCGCCATCTGCAGCTCCCACTGCTCAAGGAGCAAGTGTGGATTTCAACGTGTTTCCATTTAAAACGGTTCAAAGAAAACATTAGGACATTGAGAGGGACAGCCCCATATTGGGCCTCATGGGCTTTGGCGTTCGCTCTATGCAGCTCTCTTCTGCCATAACTGTGAGGGTGGACCCTGAGGGTCAGGAACAGGTCTTCTTTGTGGAATCCCCAGTGCTGAGTGCTGCTAGATGCACCAGTAGAAGAATGAGGGTAGAAGAGGGAGGTGCCCTTCAACACTCAGTACCTGGAACCAAGGGAAACACCATCCCTGTGAGACCTACCCAAGAGGACTACTGTCCCCACTGGGCAGATGGGAAACTATGGCCACCCAGCTAGAAAATGGGGAGTGAGCACTGGATCGCAGACCCCAGAACCAGAGAGACCATGGGTTAGGGGTTCACACAGATGGAAGGACAAACCTGTCTCACCCAGCACACCCAGACTTTTGCTCCACATTTGACACCAATGAGCAGAGCCTGGTTGCCCAGGGAGACATCAGGCCCCAGGTTCTGCTGTCCTTCTCATGGCCTGGGTGTGCCACCTAGCCCCGGGGCTGCTCCAGGACCCATATTCCATCCTTCCTGGGGAGGTTACAGCTCACTGTGTGTGGGCGTGACATGGAAAGACATGGCGCCATGATCACACCTGCCACAAAAAAACATGAGCTCCTGGGACCCAGGTGGGACTTGGTGTGACTCTCGGGGCAATGGCTGCAGGACCCCCAGGAACAAGGAAGTAAAGCGAGCATGAAGACGGAGACTCAAGGACTGACCCAGGGCCACCAAGGAGGTCCCCCCAGGAAGGCCCAGGACCTGAAGCCTTGGGGAGGGGCTTCACTATAGGGGGCTTTTTTCCTTGGCTTCAAGCTGTTTCCATGTCAGTCTCAAGCATTCAGGTTAGGAGTATGCTACTCAATAAAGACCAGATAACTCAGGTTTCTAAGTGGACAGAATTTCACAGAATGCACTTGAAGAACAGAAAAAAGGCAGCCCTGATATTTCCACCCACACAGTCAAAAGACACCCAAGTGATTTCCTCTGTGTTTATGCAGAACTGCAGATTTGATCTTTAACTGTGCTTCACTCAACCTGTAAACTATTATGTTGCCCACACCACTGTCCCTTCTCCGAGGAGCTCATCAAGGGGACACAGAGACAGGCAGAGGATCCCTGGCATGCGAATGGCTAAAAGGGAGGAAAACAGAAGGAGGAGGTGGTGAGCCTTCTGGGGGACTTCGGGTTGGTGCCCATGCAGAGGTGTTACCTCCGGGTCTTCAGGGCCCATTCTCTGCCCCGGCTAACCTCAGGCTGGCTGGGCTGGCATCACCCAGAAAGCAGGAGAACAGGTGACACGTTAGGGCCATCCCTCAAGCTCAGCCTAGCAAGCCATAAGCCAGGAAACATGCTGGATATAGCATGCATGCTTCCAGAAGCCCTGCTTTATGAAAGCCAGCCCTCGTGGGGAAGAAATCTAGGCAAGTAACATTTTCAGAGGAAGCATTTTTCAGATACTCTAGCTAAAAATGTTCTCCAAGGGCAATCTTTTTTTTTTTTTTTTTTTTTTTAAGACTCAGCCTAATCCATGCCTGTGTGTAGCTCAAAAACTAACATGTATATTCACAAGCTATCTTCTTGGTAGAATTTTCCAAAGATTCTCAAAGAAGATTCCAAGGCAATGGAGCTCAAATAAAGCCACAGTGACCTGATCTAAAGAGAAAGAAACCTAATCATCTTCAAACAATCAGTTGCTAGTGACTGAAAGGCAAAACTGTCAGCAGACTAGGGAGATCCAGGCCTAGCCAGGGGAAGGAGCCAAGCAAGGAAGAGTGTTAGAAATAACCAGAATGGCGGAGTGGACGCCATTAGGGTGCTAGTCACTGACGCATGCTTCCTGTTGTGATGATGTCGCTTCTCTATGCCACCTTCTAACTTTAGGTACTTAAAAATATGACCCCTCACATCCTGGGGTACCTCTGCCCCGTCATTCAGATTTACCAGCATTTTCTGCCAAAGGTCTTGTTCGCTTTTGGGGATTACAGAAGCTCTCGGGAGTGAAGCAGCATCCGGAGGCAAGCAGCCTGTCCTTCTGCTGCTGTTAATAATTAATAGCTAATACTTGGTGAGGCCAAGCGTGGGCTCCATCCCTACCAGACACCCCATGCAGTGGTTACTCGTTGCCTCCCAATTTTAATCATAAGGACACTGAGGGTTTATGAGATGAAATATTTGCTCAAGGTCACCCAGTGAGTGTGTGTCAGAGACGGGATACATACTAGACATGCATCCAGACAGTCTAATTTCAGAGTCCTTCTCTTGACTGCTTCAATATACTCCCTCGTGTGGCAGCTCACAACCGTGGAAAAATGAAAAAAATAATGAAACCATTCGACAGGGAAGGAAGACCGTGGTGCTGATGAACTGATTAGTTAAAAATCATAATACAACCTTCAGTGGATGCTAAAACGGGTGAAAATGAGCTAGACAAGAGAATGTTCACCTGGTCTCACAGTTCACCCCACTGATTACTTATTAATTACAAGGAATAAAATAACAGTAACTTTATAAAGGACAGCACTGGAAGAAACCACCTGAGCCAGGTGAACAAACTCGTCCTCACCAACACCAGGTCACACTGACATGCTGAACCCACGGATGTGATGTAAACACACAAAATGTGGGCCTGGACCTAAGCATGAAGAAACAGCCAGACAAATCCAGACTGTGAGACTCTCCTCGAAACAAATGGCTTAGGTTCTTCAGAAATGTCAAAATCACAAAAGATAAAAGCAAAAGCAGTGTTTGGCTTCGATTTAAAGAGACATAACCAAATTCAGGGCATGATGCTTAACTGAATGCTAGATAGGGGAAAACAGCTATGAAGAATATTTTGGGGACATCCAGAGGTATTTGAATAGAAACTATATGTTGGATAAGATTACTTTATCAGTGTTAAATTCCTCAGTGATAACAGTGCTACCATTTTGAAGAAGAAAGCCTATGGATGTAGGAGATATTTCTCAAAGTATGTCATGATGTCTGCAACTCAGATAATTCAGAGAGAAACACTGAGCACACATATATATAACACACGTGAGTACATATTCCATGTGTGTATATGTGTGTGTGTTTGTAGGTAAACAACTGGTAAATCTGAGTGAAGAATATATGAGTGTTCACTTTCCATTTTTAATAGATAGGAAATTTATCAAAATGAAGAGCAGACAAAAAAATAAATATTTGTTCAAGGAGTCATAAGGCAAAAGAATTGCTATGCTATTAATCAACTAGATAAAAACAGCATTTTGAGACAAGAACTAAGAGGAAACATTAAAAAGGAAAACATGTGAAGGTGAAAGACTACTTTTGTTTAGATTACTCTTATAATACGTTACAAATCAATCACAATAGCAACAGAGGGCAATAGAATTACTTCATAAATTTTGTACCGGTATTAGCGTAAATCAAATCACTTTTCTGTTGTTCACTACAATCATTTTTTTTTGAGAATAATGTTTATCATTCTAAATGCAAATTCTAGTGCAATATGAAACTCATTTCATAATTCGTTCTCAATGGATTTCAGGGAATAAATAACCCTATTCCTGGCTTTAGATCGGATTTCAGGCAATTTGCTCCAAGGACCAGTACAAGTTGGTCTGTTGCTGGAGGTGTTGACTGCACGTGCCCCCGTGGCACAGCTGCTAGGGGCCCAAGAACATGGGACTTACTTTGCAGACACCGTGATTCTCTGGAGGTGTGTGGCAGTCAGGCATCCAGGGCAGCACGGCACCGTCCCGGCTGGAAATGGCCCATTGTTGCCCCCGTAGATGGTGTGAGACTGCAGCCCCTGAGAACTCTGGAAAAAAGACGACAAGGATAAAAAAAGAATGTTCATAGTTCACGAAAAGTGAGAATTTAAAATTTAAGTTTTAAGAATATATTTT